TGTAAGCAATATAAGTCTCTGTGTTTACTTGGTTGGGTCTGAGAGACTGTGGGACTAGCAGGTGAGAGAGATTTGCCCTGACTGTGGGCCAGGCAGGAAAACTCTAGCTACAGTCTACCTGATGGTCTTAGCAACAGCAGCTGAAACATGATCTGGAGATGACCTAGACCAATGAGAGGCAGCCATGTCACACCAGCTGATGCATATTCATCAGCCCTCCCCTCAGGGTGGGGTGGAGGGTATATAAGGCTTGCCTCTTCCTGAATAAACTGAACTTGTTGTTTCGACATTCTCTCAGGGCCTGTGTGGTTTGACTCTGCACCTACTTGGTCCCCACCCCCAAAGGGAACAACAGCAAGGACCCTGCTACAGACAGGAAGCACTCAGGAATACACACTCTGGAAAAGCAGACTCTCTGGGCTCACCAGTGACATCTCCTCACCCACTACCCTTGCTTTCTCTTAGTCTTTCTGCAATTTGTTCCTTATTTATAACCATGGTGAGCCAAAAGACTGAAGAGCTGAGAAACTGGTTCCTACATTTTTTTTTTTTTAAGAAAAGCTGTATATAGCATATGTCTATTATCTACTATCATCTATCTTGTCATCTGTCTATCTATCTATCTGTCTGTCTATCTATTTATCATGTATCCATCCATCTATTTATCTGCTCTTTAATGGCTTTGTACCTGATATAATTTTTCAGAACCTTGGTCAAAACAGAAATAGGAAGAGTCTAATTGCCCATTAAATCCACTTAGTATTTCCTAGATCCATCTAACTTTTTGTTTATTATATAGTTTCTTTGTCTTTTCAAAATATTTAGATAATTTTTCCACACATCTTCTACTTTTTAGTTATTTTCTAAGGTAATCACTCTGTGATTAAGTGCTTTCATTGTGTCTTTTTAAAAATATATTCCATTTTTCTGTTAGTGTCTTCCTTCTATCATTATGGTTTTATGTTCTTAATTTTTCACAATTTATTTAAATTTGCTGTTCTGCCATTTCATGTATCCACACAAGTCCACTTACTAGCTTTCATATCCTCTTTGATATAAATGATATATATTACATCAGCAGAGGTTTGCTATCCATCTTTGAAGTACTTCTTTGAGCAATACTGACAGAAGTTGTGCCTCTGGTGAGATATTTTAGTTAGTGTGGTTTGAAGATGCCTTTATTATCTTCTTCCATGGTGCTTCACTACAAGCAGATTCTGACATGATTATTGTCTGGTGGTCTCCATAATTTCTGAGGAGAAATCCCTTGTCTTTCAAATCTTTGCTTCTCTATTCTGTTTCTGTGTCTGTTTGAACATGTTCTATTTCATTTGGTCTTTATGACTTTGACCATAACACTTTAAGGTGTAGTATTCTTTGCATTTATGCTGTAGGTATTTGCTAAGCATTTAGAATTTATATTTGCATGTGTACATTAAGGAGTGAATTAGGGGAAATTCTTTGAAAATATTTTTCTTGCACAGCTCTCCTTGAACAATTCCTTCTCCATCTGCAATCACATGTATAATTAGTCTTCAACATTGTTCTACAGGTTTCTGTATCTCAGATAATTTTTCCTGTGGTATTTAAATTTGTTTGCCCTTTTAACATTATTGAATAATTTCTATCAATGATGCATTTGTAATATGTAACACATGTATGTTAAAGCTCACTAAGTTTTTTTTTATTATTTCCAATCAGTGTTTAAAACTTGGGGGGAGCTGAGTTTGACTTTGTCGAACAGACTGGCCTAAAATTTGTAGTGTTCCTATACTGTCCTTAGAAGCTGGAATTATGGGTGTGTACTACCTGCTCAGCTTGCTGTTAAACTCATCCACTGAAGTGTGAATTTTAAAAGTTATATCACTCATTTAATTTTTTGTGTTATAATTTCTATTTTGCTTTTGAGATTTGTTATCATTTTTCTTATTGTGGACATATTTTCTTTTTATAAAATTTAACATGATTATATTTGGTGATTCCAACATCCAGGGTTTCTGACAGCTTTTCTCCATTATTTTTTTGTGAGTGTTGGTTGTACTTTCTTATTTCTTCATGTGTAATAAATTTTATTGGGACTAGACACTGAGAACAGTTACTATCTCAGGATGCAAGGAACCTTCATGGAAATCTGCCTATTTTTTCACTTCTTTCAGCCTTTGTTATTTCTTGGTCTTCCTGAAATTTATATTCCACATTTAGTTCAAATACTGAACAGTCCTGTGGGCAAATTTCATACCCAGAATTTGGGGATTTCCTAGGCTAGCCATCTTTTTTCTAGGATTCATGCTTCCTTCCTTTCCTAAATCCTTCTGTCTTCATCCCGGATTTTGTCTTCGGTCTTTTTTGTTTTTGTTTTTGTTTGTTTGTTTGTTTTGTTTTTTGGCTTGCAACACAACTTTCTGGTTGAGTTTTGGAAAGATGCCAAATGAAGCCACCTCAGATAGGAGAAGGCTTTTGCTTTCCTTGAAAACCCTGCCCAGGTTTCAGTCCTTTCTCTCAAGCACTGGAACTCTCAACTATTCGCCCGCTGATAGTCTATTTTCAGTGTCTTTAGTTAGAACTTTTAGAAATACTTTGGGAATCGCAGTGATTCATGGGAAAGCAGCCTATCATCAGAAACAGAATCAGAACTTGAATGGTAGATCTGAGTAGAATTTTACCCCTGGAGCACTGCTCTCCTGGGGCATGGAATTTCCTCATATATCTCATTGGGAATGATCACCTCCAGTCATTTCTGAAAGTTTCTTGTAGTCAATCTTTCAGTGGCAGATATTTCTTCTAAATAACCAGATTTTAAAGAGTTAAATCTTGTGGCAGCTTTCCATGTTTGTTCATTTTCTGAAGTGTCAGGAAATGTGTGCCCTGATCAGTCTAATAGTTCTATTTGAAAACTATGCCATTGATGTGTTGTGCTGTTTTAGTAAACCATTTCCTTTAATCCCTTGATGGGTTCTTCATTTAAAATCATCCACACAACTTCTCCCACATTTTTCTCTCTCATACAGAACCTACACAATCCCCATGGCTTCTGGAATATAGAAGATGTACATTCCCATTTTAAATAGCATGCACATGTATTTCCTTCCTTATATTGCCTGTCATTCTAGTGTTAACTTTTGAGAGGTTTAACAAGGATACATTATTTTTAGCTTTGGTCTCCATAACCTATAAGAAGTCACTTTGCTCAAATTCACACATGAAGTAGTTACACTTTTTGCTAATATTCAGAATTTTGTGCATGAGTAGAGGCAACTGAGCCTTAATGGTTTATGAGATTATCTGTGCTCTCAATTATTTATATGTAATGTGTGACTTTAAACAATTGCAGGCTAGCTTGCTTGGCTGTATGGTTGTCTCCTGATTCTGGGCTAGTTTCAGCTCAAAGTTGACTAGACTAGGCATCAAGGATGGCTCATTCACATGCAAGGTAATTAGGGGCCATCTACCAGGATATCCAAATGAGGCATCTCCAGGCAGCATGAGGCTAGTTTCCCAGAAGAAGTGTTCCAGGAGTAGACATCCCAAGATTCAGGAAGTACCCAAGGGATTAAGAATCATCAGCAAGTGTCCTAAAACTATCCAGCCATAGTCTACTGGCCATGAAAAAGCTCATGCACTAATTTAGATGAAGTCATCTTTGGAATTTTGCATTTAAAATTGCATGAATATAAATATATATGTATATATATTTATATTTTTGAATATATATATATATATATTTCAAAGTGATACAAGATAATTTTCTTGCTTCCTTAACTCAATTAATTTAACTCTTGGATCTCAGTCCTAATTTTATTCTGTTGTTTTGAGACAGGGTATCCCAGGCTGGTCTCAAACTTACCATCCTCCTGCCTCAGCCTCCTGTGTGCTGTGATTACAGACATGTGCTACCACACTTTGGCACAACGCTATTTTTGAAAAAAAAAAATAAAAAGAAAAAAAGAAAATCCCACCTGTCCAGATTTTTCTTATTAGGCAAACTACCACTTCTCTCCCTTAGCCTCTCATTTTGCCTGACTTCCCACATAATCTTTTCGGAATAATTGGGATGGCTTATGTGATATCAGTAGACCTCCTAATTGAATGTCAAGGAAGGCAGTTCCTATTGACAAGGGGACCTCCAGCTTCATTGAGAAGCATTCAATTAGATGGAAAACAGATGCTTATTTTTGTCTTATAAACCTCAATGCAGGTTATGTGGTAATTACTTGAAGAGCAGGATAACAATTTATGTAATCAGCAGGACCCTATAATTACTAATGCATAATTTCTAAACAGCATTTAGCAAAATGAGACCCATACATACACTTTGTACTGGAAAAGATGTGTTTGACACCACACTAAATTAAATTTAAAATTTGCATATTTTCTTCCAGGAAACACACTAGCTTCATCTGCTCTATTTTGCTTGACTAATCTCTGCCCGCTTCCAGCTCCACTGAAGGACCATGGCAGCTGTGAGAGCTGTGACTAGGGGGGATGAGAAGCTCCTGCTTCTCTAGAATGTGGAGCATCATCCCAAGAAGAGACCAGGAAGGCTGCAACCTGGCAATTTCTATCCCCTGAGAGTCTGATGCAGGGTCATACAAAATTCAGAGTGCAAGTGTCTGTAGGAAACTTAAAAATTATTTGCACTTATTTCTTTATTATTTATGGAAAATCTGAGGCCGGCAAAATGGGGTAACTTGTGCCACATCCAGGACCAGGGAGGAGGAAAGCATCCATTCAGTCTCAGATGTTAAATCCATTCTACCACACACGGCTCATACAGATACTATTGGACAAGCCACACACAATAGGCACAGGGATAGTGAATATTTTCCTGAAAAGTATTTTAAAATTGACATGTATATTTACATTGCAACCCAGACAATATAGAAATATATGGGACTTTCATGGAGATAATGAATCTTCATGTATTTTAACTGAGCTAAGTACCGGCTATTTTATTCTCTCTCGACTGATGAAGTCATTCATATCCATTATTGAATTCTTACCTACAATTCCTGAAATCGGGTTAATAGGGTTGCCAGTATCTTCTTCAAAGCTTTGGACCTAAAACATCAAAAATGCATCAATTTCATTAGAAATGTTTTCATAACAAATTCACTTTATTTAGTCAATAAACAATGATTATCCACTGATAACCACATAGAGGGAGAAGCATGAGTTGCTGAACCCAAATAGGCTTCTGGGAGGAGGTGGCATGAGGTGTCCACAAGAAGGGCTCAAAGAATTCAAAGAGTTCATGGGGGGGGGGATCACTCCTGAGTGGGAGGATCACTCTTGGATGGGAGCATCACTCCTGGGTGGGAGGATCAAGGTTCTTTCTGGAAGTTGTGCATTAGAACTTTCTTTTGCCACTGAAGAATATTAAATATGTGTGAGAAAGCTAGCTAATTATGGCTTGATAAGCTTATGCACAGTAATTCAGATAATCCAGCTGCTGCATAGTCCTTATACACACACACACACACACACACACACACACACACACAGAGAGAGAGAGAGAGAGAGAGAGAGAGAGAGAGAGAGAGAGAGAGAGAGAGCCCAAAATTTATTTCTAAATTAAGAGAGCAGGGTTTATTTTTGAAATATTTTGGAAATTAATGGATAATATTCTACAAATGATGGCAAAACTATTGCTAAAACAAAGCAGTAACTATTATCTTTAAAGAGTAACATAGCTCACTGTAGAAATGTGTCACCCAGAAAAAGAGAGGTGAAAACAGTTGCTGTCTTAATTTTGGAATGTTTCTTTGTAGGATTTATGTTTTGCAAACTTTTTCTAGCTATAGTTATGAAGTCAAAAGTTCTTATTCAAGAATTTGGGGGAGTGGTACCTTATACTCAGAATTGATTAGATGTACTTACCAGCATTCCTTTCATTGGTTTTGGTATCTCTAACCAATGTACATCATCACATTTTTAAATGTCATGAGAAACTCTCTTCCCACATTTTTTTCAATTGGAAAACAATAATGGAAGAAAAGGGTTCAACAATTTAAAGTAAATGCCAGGCAGATCCTTGAGTTTTCTACCCAATACAAAGTTATTAGTTTTCAAAATCTGTAAAAATTGAATAAAGAAGCAGTCTGCACCCCATGAAGATGCCAACTGACAATAAAACCATTGGTCTCACATGTGTTTTCTGAAATACAGTGTCCATTCACTAAAGAAGGGAGGGCACAGGCTATTAATCAGGAACATAAAGAAGCATATGTCATATAGTGTAACTGCCTGTGTTTCACAAGCATTAAATTCACTTAATATTCTTGGTAAATTAAAAAGAAAGGAACTGACTCAATACTGCTTAGTTGAATTAAATACAGAATGTGTTGATCTTTGCATTAGAAATCTATGTAAAATTTTTGTTGTAATTATAGTTTTGAGATTCAAGCCAAATGTGGCCAAAAGAAACATTTAACAGGCCTGGAGGAAAGTGTGATAGATTGGCTTTAAGGGAAAATTTGGCCAACCATAGTTAAAACTCTACTGGCCAGATATTTATGCATATTGGCTATCATTTAAATGCCTCAAAAATCTGTCAATTTCACACATATTTTTTATTTCTTGTATTTGAATTTTTAGATTTGTCATTCAAAAATAGATGTTAAACCCAACATTGGCTCCTGTTTACTATGCAGTCTCCCTACACTGCATTTACTAATTCATATGGCATTGAGTGCAATAGTATTTTCTACAGTGCTAATACATTTTACAAAAACTTTTTTGTTTGTTTTAAGAGGTGAGTTTCTTTCCTATTGTTTTAGGGTTATCTCTGATTTATATACATATGAAGCTTTTCACATATACAAGAAAATGTTGAAGTTGGTTATGAAATTCTACATAATATTCTAGTTTTCTTTTTATACATTTAGTGTGTGTGTGTGTGTGTGTGTGTGTGTGTGTGTGTGTGTGTGTGTGTGTCTATTTGTGGAGGACAAACTGCAGGGTCAGTTCTCTCCTTCCACCAAATAAGTTCTGGGGATCAACCTCAGGTCTTTAAGCTCAATGGCAAGTACCTTTACATGTGGCGCCACCTCACCTGCCCAATATTCGTTTGTTATGGAAGCCATCTTGGATTACCATAGAGTATTTAGTGATATTTAATTTAGGAAATATTTAATGAAATTATTATTTTATTGTTCAAGTAATCTTTACAAGTATGCATTTGCCTTATAATATTAAATTGAATTTAAAATAATGAATAAAATTACAAAACTGGAAGAAAACCGATCTTTGGTAGAGTGTTATAAATTGACAAAAAATGATGTGGCACAAAAAGTGGTGTTTTAATCTTGTAAAGGTTCCTTGTTAGGATTTATATAAGGTACATGTGTGCATGCAAACATAAATACATACTAGGTTCATTGGTAGCTATGTATTTAATGAAACATTTTCATCTTTGAGGGGCAGGAGGGTTACTATAGGCATCCTTCCCTGACTAAACCCTAGTTTTCTTTCAAGGCATACTTAAGCTTTACTCTCCCTAAGTTCCTTGATCTTCTTAGCCACCTGGCTACTTAATCATACTTTTCGTTGCTTCTTGGCTATCACAAAATACGTTTGCAGAATGATATAAGGGCCCATCTGTGGACCTGTGCCCATTTCTCCCTGGCGTTGCTTTGTGTGCCTATTCTTGTTATCACTCCTTTCAAAGCAGATTCTGTTATCAACTCTGTGCTGCTGGCTGTGCCTGGCACATGAGGGCTCAGCAGAGAGGCAACTGCCATCTTGTGATTTATAAATTAAATCAATTACCCCACTCATCTTGGAGTAGTTCAGATATATAGGGGTTTGCAAAGGACCCTTCCTTATTCCTTTGTAACTATGTTAATGAACAGTTATCAATAAGCTCATGCCCCATCCTAGTTTCCATTATGAATACAGAGGTAAGAGGAAACACACACACACACACACACACACACACACACACACACACACACACACACACATTTTATTAACTAAATACAAAAGGAGATATCAGAAAAAGAGTGCAAATTAGTATGAGTGAGACGAAAAAAATAATGAAGAAGTAGAGGATGCAGTTGAAACTTAATGCAAGGTTTCAATATATGATTATCAATAAATGATAAAACAAGTAAATAAAGGAAACTAGCCCCATAAGTTGTCATGGTATCTTAGCATAACAGTAGAAACGTAACTAACACAATAGGAGAAGGCTGGTTTCATACCAGTTTGGTTCTTCCTGAAGCAATTACAATAACTTTAAGTGTCTCAGACTAAACTGAATTTGGAACTGTAAAATAAAAGAGCAAAAGGTTGGGATATCAAGTGGATCAATGGAGGCAAGAAGGCAAAAAGATATGGTGAAATGGGCCATTTTCAATAGGAGGCTGAGCAGTAGAGACAATACTCACCTCTTCCATTTCAAAGGAGTCTGGTCCTTTACTCACAATGTGAGACAAGTTCTTAAGCTTGTCCATGTGAATCCACTTCTCCTTCCAAGTTTTTCTCCTAACTGACCCCTCAGACACATTGGTATGAGGAGACTGTTTTGCCAGTGAGGATGAACAAGGCCATTGCTTGTCCAGAAGAGCTTGTGGAGGAAGACAAGGTAACAAGTCATTGCAGGCTCGGGCAGAACCATGCTCTATAGAAGGAGGCACTTGACTCTCATCATTGCTAATGGAAGCCACTTGTAATTCCAGTCTATGCTCCCATGGCTTGGTTGGCAGAGTAGAAGTCTCATCTTCCATCTTGAATGATTCTGACAGTGCTGGGTTACCAACCCTCCTGATATTCTGTCCTGAAGTTCTCCTTAAAAGTTGACTCATTCTTTGCTGATGCTCTTTAGCGCCACTGGATGTGGGGCTGTGCATACCCTGTCTTCCAGCTTTCTCTTCAGCTTGGCTCTGGAGGGTGTTAACATCATTCAACAAAGTTGAGAAGGCATTGGTCACATGATCCAAGATTTCCAACTGTTGGAACCGGCCTGAAGAACATAGGAATATAGACATTTTAGGACAGTTTTTTTTTCTATGATACTACTACAAAGAAGTAAATAACACAATAAGGACTAAACGATGGGGCCAGTGAGATGGCTCAGCAGGTAAAGTCATTTGCAGCCAATCCTGATTATTTTGGTGTGATTCCTGGAATCCACATGATAAAGGAGAAAAACAACTTCTACAAGTTGTCCTCTGGCCTCCACATGTGTGTCAGGGTATACAGGCTCATGTACACAGGCACACACAATAAGAAAATTCAAATGAAGGAAGGAAAATGCACTTAAAGAATGGGTAATGTGATTATCTGAGAAAACAAAGACTTCAAGCTGTTAAAACTCAAGTTTTTCCCAGCAATGCCACATCTCTGAAGATGAAACCTCTACCTAATGAGAAGTTACTGGCTTCTGGACCAGAGGTGAGTGTCCAGGCTCAGCCTAGACCCCATCCCTGGGCACCAGCCACTCTGGGGAAGACCTGCCCAACTTGGCCCTAGGCTCTGGCCACCGGGCAGGTTCCCTTCTAACCCTACCGGGGAAGGCTCCTCTTCTCCAAGACCCCTGGCAGACCCTGCAATCTCCACACCCTGCCCCCACGCTCATCTGCCCAAGACCCCAGCCACTTCCTGAGACTTAGAGACTGGTCCCTAGCTCCCATCCTGCCCCGGGACTTCCCTTCTGGACAAGAGGTGAGTGTATGGGCTCAGCCTAGATCCCATCCCTGGGCACCAGCCACTCCGGGGAAGACCTGCCCAACTTGGCCCCAGGTTCTGGCCACCGGGCAGGTTCCCTTCTAGCCCTACCGGGAAGGCTCCCCTTCTCCAAGACCCCCGGCAGACCCTGCAATCTCCACACCCTGCCCCCACGCCCATCTGCCCGAGACCCCAGCCACTTCCTGAGACTTAGAGACTGGCCCCCAGCTCCCATCCTGCCTCAGGACTTCCCTTCTGGACAAGAGCTCCTGTCCTGTCCCGGACTTCCCTTCTGGACAAGAGCGCCCATCCTGCTCTGGACTTCCCATCTGGACAAGAGTTCCCATCCTGCCCCGGAGTTCCTATTTGGACAAGAGAGCTCCCATCTGGACAAGAGAGAGAGACTTCCTGATTCTGTCAACTCTGTCTGAACCAAGTGCGTTGATAAGACCAAGAATGAACCACAAGGAGATGGGCAGATGTCAAAGCAGAAGTACATACAACAAAATGAAGAGCAATATAGCATCACCAGAACCTAGCCCTCCTCCAACATCTAGACCTGAACATCAAAAATTGGAAGAAGCAGAAGAAAACAGCCTTATGAATAATATCATGAAGAAGGTAGAGGCTTATATAGAGGAAAAGACAAAAAATGGGAAGAACGCTATAAAAAACTAGAGGAAAGGACAAATAAAGTAGAAGAAAACAATAAAGTCCTGGAAGAGAAATTACTGTATCACAAGGATGAAAGCTGTTATCTTTTAAATTTAGATGGAGGCACATAACTTTGTGGATCCACATATAGTGATTAACATATAGTTGTCATATGCTAATTCATTAAAAAAAACCTAGAGATAAACTCTGAAAACTAAATGTCAAAAGATAAGCTCAAGGGCTGAGGGTGTGGCTAAGTGGTAGAGTGCTTTCCCAGTGGACAAAGTCCCAGCGTCCATCTGTACTACTGCAAAAGATAAAACACTTCCTAAAGCAGTAACCCAGGTTTTCAACATGAAGTTGCCCAAATATGCTTCCCACAGCTTCATGCACTAACTGTCTCGTCATTGTGTCCATCATCTCCATCACTCACATATGGGATAGCATATGGAATCAGGAGGCCTGGTTCTAGAATCATCCACTGCTGCAAGTTTAGCCCTGCTGTGCATGAGTTAATACACATGCAGTGCTTAGCTCTGTGCCAAACATAGTAAATATTCGTGGTTTTGTTTTTTTAACTTTTATAATCATGGATATATATATATATATATATATATATATATATATAGAGAGAGAGAGAGAGAGAGAGAGAGAGAGAGAAAGATAGATATATGTACACACACACACACACACACACACACACACACAGAGAGAGGGGGAGAGAGAGAGCTGTGCTGTACAGATATGTAAATAGGCAGTATAGGTCTGTGTTGATGTTCATGACTCCTGATACTATCAAGGGCAATGCCAACGCCAGGGGTCTGGGCTGCCACCTGTAGTTGGTGTCTGAGGGCCTTGCTGCCATGGGGGCCATGCCAATCCTAGTGGCCTGCATAGCCACATGGGGATGGGCCTGGGCTGCTGCCATCAGCCATATCTGGGTCCATTGCCCAACAGTAGCCAGGGTCTGGGCTGATGTTCATGGCTTGTGTTGCCATAGGGAGTCACAGGAACCATGGGTGTTGAAACCCGAGGCTGTACTAAGACAGTCCTGTCCCTTCCTGGCCTGGGGTAGCTGGCTCTGCCCTTTGCAGCAGGAGAGCTGGTGATGCCCAACTCCCATGAGAGAGTACTCTGGAGAGATGGCCCCACCCCAGATGTTGGAGAGCTAGTCCCAGAGGTCCAGACCCATATCCTGGGCCTTGGGTTGGCCCACCCTAAGAGCTACCCCATCTATGACCTGCTGGAGTGCTCAAAAGTACTGGTCCTGCTGAACAATAACCTCAGGATCTCCATGACTCGGGGCAACAACAGGATATCCAAGAGGATTTTGATGGGGGACTAGTGATGATGGTGTACCAGAAATCAGAGGCCTTGAGCCAGACCGATGACTCATTGCAATGAACATCTTGTGAGTGAGGCTGACTGGGCAGAAGGGTGTACTGCATGACACACCAGCAGCTCCCGATTCAACTAGGATAAATAAAGAGGTGTTGGAAAGATGGAGAAATGAGGTGAGTTTCTTTTGTTTGTTTGTTTTGAATTAATTTTGGGGGGAGCATACTGTAGGGGTGAGGGGTGAATATGGAGGGACTGGGAGGTGAGCAGAATTGGGGTACATGATGTGAAATTTCCAAAGAATCAATAAAGAATTATGTTTAAAAATTTTTTAAAGTTATTTAAAAGAACTATATTGTTTTCAATCTTTCAAGAAACAAAGAGTAATTAATGAGGATTCTCATTTACTTTCATACTTAAGCATATTCTCAATTTGTTAGTCTTTCTTCATAATATGGCTGCAGTACTTTAATAATCCAGCAATATATGGAAGTATTGGCTTAATAAGCACTGGAGAGGGACCTCAAGAAGTGAGAGACAATTTAGGCATATGATGCCAGTTTGTAAAACATACTGAATTATTTTCTATTTTGGTATATTGATATAATAAAACCATGGTGATGGGAAAGCAAGGAATTTTATTTTGTACTACAGCTTTATCAAAACCCTGATGATAACTTAAAGATTATATGACTCAGCCGGGCGGTGGTGGCGCACGCCTTTAATCCCAGCACTCGGGAGGCAGAGCCAGGCGGATCTCTGTGAGTTCGAGGCCAGCCTGGTCTCCAAAGCGAGTTCCAGGAAAGGCGCAAAGCTACACAGAGAAACCCTGTCTCGAAAAACCAAAAAAAAAAAAAAAAAAAAAAAAAAAAAAAAAAAAAAAAAAAATAAAAGATTATATGACTCAACAATGGTAAAAAGCCAACATAGCTGGGCAAAGACACTCTCTTAGTCATATTTTCTAACTACTATGTCCAAATACTTGAGAGGAAAACTTGAAAGATGGAGAGGAGAGGTGATAAATTTTTATTCCTGTTTGCAGAGGAGGATTCAGTCGATCCCAGTGAGGAAGGTGTGGCAGAAGATGACAGCCTACCTCATCATAGCCAATAAAGTAAGAGGAGAGAATATGTATACCTGAGTCAGTGGGATTTCCTTTTTCCATATTATTTTTTATTTAGCTCTTTCACTGTTCCATACATATATTTAACGTATTCTGGTTACTTTCTCTCCCTATATTCTGGTTACTCCTCCTTCCCCTCTTTTATCTTTTTCTTGTTCTTATCAACTATCCCTTGACCCATCTTTACCAGTTCTTTTCCCAGATTCATGACTCTTGGTTTGTTTAGATTAACTAGGGCTATCTATGTTAGCATTGGAATGGAGCCTGGAGGAGTCACCAGTGTGTATGCAACTGAAGGTAATTACTTCCTTTCTTCCTGAATACATCAGTAGCAAATAGTTAGTAGTGAAGGGTGAGGTCCTTTGAGTCTCTCTTCCATCCATACCTGAGTGTTGATGGGCCCATTCTTACCCAGACCCAGCCAGGGCGGGCATCTTTAGCAGTTATAAGTTCAAGGTTACAATGACACTACATTGCTGAAAAGATGGCATTTTGCAGGCCCTCATCCAGTTTTTCCACTCTTACAATATTTTCATACTCTCTTGAGTAATGTTCCATGAGCTATAGAGAGAATGTTATGAGTGTTTTATTCATAGCTGAGCACTTATTCTCAGTACCTTGTGCATCCAAGAGTCTTTCTGTATCCACCACCATTCTCTGGAAAGCAAGGTTCTCTACATAAGGCTGAGAATAATATTCATCTATGAGTATAAACAAAAATATCTGGAAGTTATTTTGCTCTCTATATTCTATTTAAGCACCAAGACTGTGGGATGGTGCTACTCACATTCAGCATAGTCTCCCTACCACTTTCATAGTTAATCCTCTCTGGAAGCATACAGACATACCCAAAAGTGTGCTTTACTGAATTCTTGTTTCTCAATATAGTCAAGTTAATAATCAAAGTTAACCATTACAAGTCCATCCCTTGTCAACTTGTTACCCAAATTAAATTATAGCATTTAACTTTTGGCCTTCAAAAGACTCATGGAGGACTCATACAAAAATGCATCAGTCCATCTCCTAGAGTATCTATACTCTTAGCCATGTGGACAGCTCAAAAGACTATGTAAAATCAAAAGTAGGTTATATACTTCTGAAATATGATGGACTAAAATAAACGTTCTCCTTTCTAAATGGAAAGATGAAATCACAAAAGAAAGGTATGGGATCAAAACAAGTCTGAAACCAACAAGACAAACATTCAATCTTGTGGCTCCACATCCACCATCCAGGTACAGATTGGCGTTCTGTGAACTCCAATTGGGCTGGTAAAGCCTGACTGCTTTGGTCTTATTATTCCCAGCCTATATGACTCGTCTCTTGGTCTTGATCTGCTCATTGACTGTGGCTTTTCATGGCAGATGTTCCATATTGCTGGGATCTCTAACTTCCAGAGTTCTCTTTTGCATCTTTGGCTTCCCTCTCATAGCTACATACACACATTGTCCTCTCAGGAGGAAAAATTTCCTGACATTCCAGGCTTTACTTTGAAATATGGATGAAAGCATCATAATCCTTTGATTTTTTACATACTACATGCTTATAAACCAGCATCATGAGCTGGGTGTGGTGGTGCACACCTTCAGTTACAGCACTTATGAGGCAGAGGCAGACAGATCTCTGTGCAACTAATGTCAGCTTGGTCTACATAGTGAGATCCAGGACAGCCAGAGCTCTATAGTGAGACCCTGTCTCAAAACAAAACAAAAAACAAAAACCAAAAAAACCCCAAAAAAACAAAAAACAAACAACAACAACAAAAACAGCATCACATTGATAAAGACAAGGTTTACTGCTATCTCAAGCAGCAGCTGGATGCACTTGAGCTATGACTAAAGCAACTTACGAGTGCCTAGATGACTACTTTCTTAAGTAGCTTTGTGTGAGCAGGGTAGCCCCAAACTCTTCTTCTAGTCTTTAAAATTAATTCAAACATTTCCACTGAGCCTCTGATTAATAAGGTCTCAACAAATTCATTTATGTCTTTTGCATGTGTATGCATGCGGTATATGCTACTTTATATGCATGTTCTCCTGTGTGTGGGTGTGTATGTGTATGCAGGTGCACACGCAAATGAGTTTATGTGTATGTGGTAGCCCATTGTTGATGTAAGGTGCCTTTCTTGATAACTTGCCCTCTAATACATTGATGTAAGGTCTTTTACTGAACCTGGAGCTCACTGTTTCAGCTTGTTTAGCTACCCAGCTTTCTCTAAGGCATCCCATTTCTGCTTTCTAAGGCTGGAATTACAGACATTCTGCTGTGCTTACTTGACACTTAGATGGCAAACACTTTAACCACTAAACGCAGCTCCCACCCAGATGTTTTCCATGCGTTTTGGGGGGTCCAACCTCCAGTCAACACACTCACTTAGCAAGTCCTTTACCCAGTGAACATTTCCTCAGCTGTGGCCCAATTTTTAAGATGCCTTTAATATGTACTTTCTATTATTGTGATGCAAAGTACTTGGTTTCTTCTAATGGCTTCAGTTGTCTCACAGTCATGATCTCCACTCTGCCTTTCCATGGTTTTCTGGGCAAACTCACCTTTCAAATGTTTCCCGTTAACATTTTGCTCATTTATAATTTTGCTCATAATAATCATATATTGTTATAAATTTTGCCAGAAGCAAATAGCAATAACCATACTATAGCAGCATACTAGTCTGCTTTGAAATTTCCTCTGTTATACTAATCAGTCCATCATTGTTAAGTTCAGCCTCTCTTCAAATCTCTTGGCACAAAGTATGTAAAAGTTTTGCCATATTATCACAGAAGTGGCTTCCAGTCTGTTCCTAGTTCTCAGAGGGGAAACCCTCTCAGCCCTTACAAGCTCCACCTTCACTATTTGCCTTCTATCAGCACTTGGGTCTTCCGAACTTCCTCTACAATCCCCTATTAATGCTGTTTATAGCATCATTCTGGGCCTTCTCCAGTCCACTTACCTGTCTTCCCCCAATTTCTCTCACAAACTGCTTCCAAAGCCTTCTGAGCAATATTGTCAAAGTCATACCAAAGATCCCACTTCCCTACTAGCAATTTTCTGCATTGTTTGGACACCTTTTAAAGTTGTTACCAAATACCTCAGAAAGAAAACTTAAGGGAATTATTTATACTGGTCATGGTTTCAGCTGACAATGGCCAGGTGGGCGTTGTAGAGCAGAGCAGCTTGGCTTGGTGCATAGGGCAGGGCTGTCTGGACTGCTGGAACTTCTCTTTTCCCCTTTATTCTATTCTGGACTCCTGCCTATGGAATAGGAATGCCCATGTTCCCAGCATACCTTTCTCCCTTAATTTATCCTCTCTGTGAATTCTCCCACAGCACACTAGAGATGTGCTTTAATAATCCAGGCAAGTTGACAATGAAGACAACCATCACAGATGCTGTCTTCTGTTCTATTGTCTGGACCCCCAGAGCAACCTATTGAGCCTTCCCTGAGCATATTCTGTGCTCACATGGTTTTTGTTTGTTTGTTTGGTTGGTTGGTTGATTGGTTGTTTTTTTTTATCTGAAAGGAGAAACTATCAGCCAATCATTCTGCTGCTTTGAAAGACCTGGTAGATTTTTCACAGAGGGCAGTGAAATTCTTTTAAGACCTTTAGAGAAATTCTTGGGTTTTGGGTGTTTCCAGATAATTCTGATTATATTCTTCCCCTATCTTAAGCTTGCATGAACTATCATCTCTTTGATGAGCTTGGGGACATAATTGTTTTTACAATTGCCTTCTATCCATCTCATAGCAAGTTTTGGTACTTAGACTAAGACAAAACCTACCAATTTAACCAGTTCTGTCAAGTCAGAGAACAACTATCCAGAGCATGTATGAATGTTTTGTGTTGGCCTGGGTGCAAGTTAAATAACTGATTCTTATCCTGGGTTTGAACCTTCTGCAGTAACTTTGAGGAATGAGACATTCTTTTCAACTCTATCTCCAGTAGCCAACTAACTTAGCTCTTGCTTACTTTATATTTGACTTCCTTAGCTTTATTGAAGTAAAAGTGTACATGTGTTATGCAGAAGTAAAAGTGAGGCACCCACTCCAGGACCAAACGCCCACCCTTGGTTTCTCTAAAAACAATGTTTCAATTTCATTTGTGAAATTCTTTCCATACAGATTAGCCAAAACACTATATAAATACCATTAAGTCTGGATATTTTCTAGAAATTGAAAATTGATCAAAGAACTTCCATTTCTGGAAGGAGGGGAAACCATAGTAACTCTTTCTAGCAGTAAAAAGAATATATCAAAACACCTTCAGGGTTACATACTCTTAAAAAAAAAACCTCACTGCTGGCATTTTGAGAACCATTTCATACAGAGAGAGACAAAGAGAGAGACAGAGAGAGAGAGAGAGGAAGAGAGAGAGAGAGAGAGAGAGAGAGAGAGAGAGAGAGAGAGAGAGAGAGAAAGGGAGGAAGAGGAGGATGAAGAAGATGAAGAATTAGGCGAACAAGAAGAAGAGAAGGAAGAGGAGAAGGAGGAGGAAGAGAAACTAAACTGAGAAATCCAATAGAAGTCTCTTTCTCAATTAATTACTTGAGAAAATAGTTCCTTTTCATTGATGTAATGTTGAGTGAATTTAAAAGAACTTATTTCAGAATCAGAACTTTGCTATCTTCCTGATCTACATTTTCTCAAACTCTGTCATGTATTCCATGGAATTGTCCCTTGCTTACCCAAGAGGAGTTCCAGATTTAAATGAGTTTGAACATGTTATCTACCTTCCCTCTAGGAGCCTGAGAACTGTCCATCAACCCGGTGGTAAATAAACTGTTTAGCTACAAGGTTTCTTTCTCCTAACTTATTTGTACATGTGCAGGTTCTCCAAGAGGATCTGCTGAGATATCTTAGCAAAAGTTATTTCATTGACTACATGCTAGAGAAACACAGCAAGTACACACTGTCTGTAAGACTAAGTGTAGTTAATCCACACTTCAGGCAGATATGACAGGTGAGTAGCAGATACCTGCATCTCAAGGCATATTCAGTAGCAGTCTAAGCAGCCCCTAGTGGAGGAGAGGGTTTCACTTAAGGCTTCATGGTGAGCAGGCTGATCTGTCTCCTGGGGTGTGGCTGGAGTAGATATTGGAGTACCGGTAAGAGTGTTTCACCTTTGGGCTTACACAGGATTGCACATTCCACTGTCCTCGAGTTTGTGACTTGTTTTGGCCAATGACATCTGAGTAGACCTGTGTTGAGTATACTTTCCCATTCCCATCATTTCCCTGTTATTACAACTAGTGATGCTCCAGATTGTTGTAGGGTCAGGGCAAATCCTTCAGTAATACTGGAACAAATCAGTCTTCCTTCTAAATATACATACCAAACCACGGCAGACATAAAGAGAGATCAAGAGGTCAATCTTTTCTGTTTTAAGTCACTTGGGGTTTTGAATGGTATTGCACACAATGAGTAGTCTATCCTGTCAAATGTGGCTCTGAGGCCCAGTACTCAGTGCCAAGTACTGAGAGGCAATGCCATCAGCTCCTACTTACCGTACAAGTCAGGGTTCTCCAAGTCCATCCTCTGCTTCTGTGCTTCAAGAAAAACACGGATGTTGATTCCTCTGGCTGCTGAGCTGCAACCAAGGAATCTGTCTGGGATTTGTGTGCAGATATCTGGCTCATCAGCACCAAAGCCTAGATCCAGGAGAATCTCCACTGGGTCTTTTTCCCAAAATTCCAGCCATTCAGGAATGCTGAGATTAAAAAAAATGAGAATATCTTTATCTATAGCAGCCCATTTAACCATAAGCCATTTTTCTCTACTCACCCAGTCTTCCACAATTTGAGTGGAAGGAGATCTTGAACAGACAAACAGATGGTAGGTTCGCTAAAACTCACATAGCTCACTTAAAAGACAATTGGTCACCCCACCCAGGGACACTTGCCTGTGCTTTACAAACAAAACCATGAGTTTATCCATCTGGCTTTTCTTTCCCACTGGGCAAGTGTTAAAATGGACGGGGCAGGAAGACTGGGGAGTGGAAGTCATAGACAGTGCACTGACAATCACCTCCAAACAATAACTGATGACAAAAGAGGAAACAGAAAACAACAAAAAACTGGGAATGGAAACTCATAGAAGAATATTTTTTAAAGCATCAGTCTGGGGCATCCTTAGTTACACAAATCTGTCAAAGACATCACTCAACACACAGTATAGGATCAATGTTTCCAAATAATGCTTTCAATTCCCTGGGTAGGATTAGAATATGTTCTAGTGTTTATTTGTTTGTTTGTTTGTATTTTGTCTTGTCTTGGCTGAGAAACAAGAAATCCCTTTGTCAAAATGTTCTAGTCTGTGTGGGCACAGAAATTAAGAATCAGTTACCTAGGAGTTTTATCCTCACTCAAAAAATTCTGCTGTTTGAACTTTCAAATGCCGTGGACTCTGTGGGAACTGAAACTTCTCATAAGGTTCCAGCAGGTTTTCTGGCCTCTTCATTAAGGTTTCTGTTTGCTTTCCTTTCCATGCTACTTTCATGAGCTTATGTGAGACGCTTTAGCTAATTTCCTCTCCAGAGCCTCAGTCTCATTAATCTCATGGGCAAGCCCTCTTCCCTGACACCACCAGCATCATGTTCACAATTTCTGATGTCACTTGCAGAGTTGTTGATTTGCCTTCTGACCCAATCAAGGAAGAAAAGGCAGGTTAAGAACTCACATTGAGTGGTCTAAATGGCTTGCCTGGGATACCTTAATCATTAGAATGATCTGGAAAGCTGCAGTGACAATCAGTTGATTGTATGCCATGGACAAATTGATGTAAAGAAGGTTCAAATGAGAAATTAGTTTGGAGAGAATCCTAAATTCCACACGAAATTTTAATTATCTATTGTTCCCACTGTATAAATTTTTATTCAGTCCATTTTTAATAACCTTTTCGAACCTCCGTGGTGTTGTAAGTTCTGAGGGTAGGTACCTATAACACAAAGTTAACAAAGACTGACTTCCAAAGGGTACAGTGTCATGGCCACCACCATGATTATTGATTGACTTGTCATTAAACATATATTGAACCATTATGAAAATATCATTAACTTGTAACATATTTAATTGCACAAGAAATAAACAAAATGAACTCACCTTTTATAAAATAAAATATTGTATAAATCTTTGTCCTCAGTTCTTCCCCACTTTCCACTAAGTCTATAAGTTTCCTCCCGATCCTTTTCTCCCTGGGTGTATACACACTTTGTAAATTTTACCTGCTTGGCCTGTCAATAATAACGTATCTCTATGCCTTCTTGCACCTTGTGGTTTTAGAATGTGACCCAGTGATAGTTCTAACAGATGGAGCTGTAGTCTGTATACATCTTCCTTGTTTTGTCAATGAATGAAATTCCAGCAAGTGTACAATCTAATCAATCATTTATTGGTTATTTCCTAGTGATATGTACTTAACCTCCTTTCCAATTTCACTGCCTCTTTTAATACGGTCTTGAAAATCAGGTTTGGAAATTCTTGGCTCATCCTCTCATCCATTAATTCAACGAGTATCTCTCAAATACAGATTTATAATTTCCTGAAGCCAATTGTTGAGCAGAATCATTTATCTGGATGAAAGTGCCAGGAAGTCACCTACCTTTGTGGTACCCCTGTGGTGGAATAGCACGAGTTGAAACTAGTCCCTCTGGACAGGGTAGGAGTCTCTGAGAACTGATGCAGAGATCTAGAATGCAAGGGGATCAAAGATGAGTCACATTAATTTAGATTCTCTCAGGAGGTCCTTGAGATGATTTCCCTTCCAGAGCAAGCATTTGTGTCTCCTCTTGTTTCTAATAAGCCAATGGTGGCCACGCCTTGGAAGGAGGCAATGTGTGCAGCATAGGGGTGCTCCTCCTTTCTGAGCATCGTTATGGAAGGTGTGAGAATTTAAGTGTTAGGTGCCTGCAAGTGCTTATTATAAAGGTGACAGAATGTCTCACTCTTGACAGATGGCAAATCATTGGGGGACCTTTCGGGAACACAGCTTTGCTAGGCTCCAACTTGAGGGAAGAAGTTAATATTATGTGATGAAAGACATGCAGCAAACAACCACTGGAGGTACTCCACATAATTTCTCACAATGAAGAAGAATTTCATACTTCATGGCTAACAGTCTCTAACCTGTGTCCCCAGAGCTCCTGTGGCCAACCATATGCAATAGTAATGAAGTCCCTTACTACCCAAAACAATGAGAATCACCATATCTGGTACTCCTGTATTGTAAAACATTTTAAAGCACTTCCAAAGAAAATTGAACTGTATTATAATACAATTCTGTTTTATGTAGCTCAGGTATATCATGGATCATATTAGACAGTTGGCATACAATTAAAATTTATCAAACAGCACTCTGCAGATGTCAATGTTCCCAAAGAGACCAGGTTACTAAACTTGAGTTGCTAAATTTGTTTTAGTCCTGTCCATACTGAGTAAGAACATCTGGACCCTGCCTCTCTGTTTAATTGTTTCTTTTCATTAAAGATGAGAAAGAACATGTTCCTGAATAATAAGAATTCTAGTTTTAAATGACCATAGAGCTTGAGGAAAGGGGAAAATATATCTTTTTATTTATTGCCTTGTGTCCTGGTTAGTTTTCTGGCTTGTTCTTGTTTTTGTTTGTTTGTTTGTTTGTTTGTTTTCAACTTACCACACAGACTAGAGACACTTGTAAATTGCCTCCATCAGATTGGCCTGTGGGAATATCTATAGGGCATTTTCTAGATGGAGGGAAGCTCAGTCTACTGTGGATGGACCCATCCATAGGGAGGTGGGCCCGGGCTGTATAAGAAAGGTAGCTGAGCATGCCACATTTCTCTGTGGTCTCTGCTTCAGTCCCTGCCTCCAGGTTCCTGCCTTGAGTTCCTGCCCTGGCTTCCCTCAGTGAAGGACTGTAACCTGAAAGGCAGATAAAGCCTTGCATCCTTCAAGTTGCTTTTGGTCAGTGTTTTTTTCACAGCATCAGAGAGACAAACTGCCACACGTCAGACCTCCTTCTATCTTTGAATTTCAGTTTTTCTTTCTGAATTTGAGGGCTCCTTCAGTTTTGCAATGTTCCTTTGAGCAACCTAGAAGCAGCACCGGCCTTAGATCCAGAAGAACCCATGAACAGGTGTTTTGATCCAGCCATGTGGGCATGAGCTTGTCCCTGAATCCACCTCTTAAGCTCCTCTTTGAGCTCCCTGGGAGATTTTCTTGAGCCTTATAAATATGCGACTGCATCAGAGCAAAGCCACCGATCACCTAAAGGAGGAAGAACTGTGGAGTGTGTGCACATCAGCACTGAATATTTAGTTTTCTGGAATAGTTCTGAAATTACAAGAATGACCCAAGAACGGGAAGCATTCCTTGCCTCAAAGAGCTCAGTCAGTCCCAGCATTTTTAAAACTAGACTGTGCCTTAGAGTCATCTGAAGGGTTTGCAAAGCACAGTTCTGAACTCCACCTAAGGTTTCAGTTCAGTATATCTGAGGTAGGCTTTTATACTCAGTGTCATGCAGCTGCGCAGGGGAGCACCCTCTGCAGTCTACTCTCTCCTCCATTAGAGACACACTGCTTCCCACCAACATCTAAACAGTCAGTAGACAATATGCTGTGTAACATCATCAGCCAGACAAAAGCATGAGTACACCTTCTGTAAATCAACACATTGCAGGAGAATGCATTTAGGCAAATATGATAATTAAGTTTCATAGCAGGCCAGCATTTGCTGTTGCAATCCTCTCACTCCTTTATGATATTTAAGACACCTCTAATTCTGCAAAGACTATCGAAAACACTCCAATCCTAGTAGCTAAGAGAGTGACATTTCAGGAGATCCCAAGAACTATAGAATCAATAAGAAGAAATTATTATCATTGTTTCTACTCCATTTAATGACATAGATGTAAAATTTCAGAGTGAAGTGACTGACTGCTACCTACCTCATGTAGTCTTTCACAGTCATTTGAACCATTCCTTGTTCATGCAAAGAAGCTGCAATCACAAAAAAAGAGGAGTAAACATGATTGTCATCCATGTCGGAAGAAGATTTCTCATCTCAAGGTGAGCCTTTGTGGGAAGGGATTCCTGTGTCCATCAGTGTTAACTGGCACTGTCTCTGCAACGAACAAGATACAGTGCACCAAATGCACACTCAGTGTGGGAGTGGGAGGGTGGGGATGAGGTCAGCAGCAAACAGGAAGCTTAGCAAAGGTTTCATGGAAAAGATATTTGGATTTTGAAGTGTGGTTAGAATGTGGTGGATAATGGAGAATCATTGTTAGAGATAATCGAACTGGCATCTGCAGCATGCGTGAAGTACCATTCTGGGGCTATTTCCACAGGATCATTAGCCTCCAGGGGTGCTCAGACAAGTGCAGCAAAGTTAAGGAATTTATTTCCTACCTTTATTATTGGTTACAATAATAACAGTATTTATTTTGCACTAACCATGCTCAACCTGCCATTTATACAATTTATTTTATTAATCTTTTTAGATTTATTTATTTTATTCTATGTGCATGTTTGCCTGCATATAGATATGTACAATGCATTTGAGGAGTCCAGAAGAGAGTATCAGATGTCGTGGAACTAGAGTTATGGATGGTTTTAAGCCATGTGGGTGATGGGATCTGAACCTGGATCATCTGCAAAAACTGCAACAAGTGTCCTTCACTGTAAATCACCCCTCCAGCCTCTGTGCAGTCTTCTGTGTTCCCAGAGTAAGTCCTTGAAATGGGGCTTGTTATTTCACACTCAAGGGAGAAAGAAAGGAGGCAGCACAGTTATATAAACTTCTCATGGCCAGTAAAATGCCACAGCTTATTTTGGTTTGCTGCTGTTGTTGTTTTCTTTCTTTTCCAAACACCACACTGCCAACAGAATGTCCCACGGTGCATTTGAAAGCCAAAAAGCGTAATTTACATTTATGCATCAGGATATGAAAATCCATTGTTTTGAGCAAAACATTGTACATGATAAAGATGGTGCTGAGGATCCAGTTGCCCGTTAGATGCCAGGAGGATGGTGCTGGGGGGCAAAATAACTGTTGGACATTATAGGGGACACTTAGAGGCCACTGCAATATTCAGACAGTGTCACATGTCAACAACATCTACAAAAGGAAATATTCAGATCATGGGCAAATTTATCAGAATGTCCACCAGACTTGTCACTCCTGGCTGTCCTGTTACACCAAGTGACATGCATAAACTTAGGTGTTGCCACCTGTACTGGGAGAAAATAAAGCTTTCCTCCACAATAAAGAAAAACAGGTCAAGGTTTGAATGAGAAAACCTGACTGAGGGACACACAGGGAAAATGCTGGGTGTTATAAAGGGCTTTAGTTTGGAGCCAGGGTTACTGTCTAGGTAGTGAGTCACTGAATGACGGCAAGGATTCTAGGAACTTGACTGTGTATTTCAAGTTCAGGGACTGGAGATAAGAATACTCATATGCTTCAACAAATGGTCCTGGCATAACTGGATGTCAGCATGTAGAAGAATGAAAATATAGATCCATATCTATCACCCTGCACAAAACTCAAGTCCAAGCGGATCAAAGACCTCACCATAAAACCAGATACACTGAACCTGACAGAAGAGAAAGTGGGGAACAGCCTTGAATACATTGGCACAGGAGACAACTTCCTGAACAGAACACATATAGCACAGGCACTAAGATCAGCAATCAATAAATGGGATCTCATGAAACTGAAAAGCCTGTATAAGGCAAAGGACACCATCAATAGCACAAAGTTTTGGACTAGAAACACCATTGATTGTGGAGCGCTCAATGGGATGTTCTGTGGGAGCTTAGAAGATAAGAATGTTGACAGCAATGCAGAAAATGGAGGCCTGGCTTGTGAAATTTCAGAGGGAAATTTGAAGAACTTATCTGGACCATTTGCTCTTTTGAATTAAGATTCTGTTGTTCTGGTCAGCTGGGGCTGAAGAGTCAGTCATAATTAACAAGAGACCAGCACCACTGAAGTAAAACCTTTGTGTTACTGGGACAATTGATGCTGGTTAGCTGGAGCTAATAAATTAGTGGTGATTAAGAAGAGACCAGCACGGGGTTGGGGATTTAGCTCCGTGGTAGAGTGCTTGCCTAGCAAGCGCAAGGCCCTGGGTTCGGTCCTCAGTTCTGAGGGAAAAAAAAAAAAGAGACCAGCATCGCTGAGGTGAAATCTTCTGAGAAGTGTTTCCTGAGAACACACAGAAGCTGTGTTCCAGAGGCAGCCAAGGTTTTACCTTGTGTTGGCAGATGGGATTGGTAATATGTAAAAGTCTCCCAGGTGGTACTGGTTTTGAAGGCATGAAAGGGTCATAGAGAGCAACTGAGGCTTGGCACTGTGAGAGGCCAGGAGAGGCCACTGATGAAGGTACAGCCTCAGTGGCAGTTGAAGGCTCAGGGTCAAAGGGGTCATGAAGAGAAGTTGAGGTTTGGCATCATAAAAAGAGCCTATGAGGGGCTATTGGCAAAAGTGCAACCCAGTTGCCACAAGAGACCCTAGCAGTTTTGGAGATGCCAATATTATGGGATGACCACCAAGGTAAGCAGTCACTGTGGAGTGGAGGCAGACTAAGCTTATAAAGAGCTAACGAGAGTAAAAATACATAGAATGTACAGCAAAGCAAGTGGGACCCTCATCAGAGTAAGGTAGGATGAGAAACATCCATCTATTTGAACGCTAGATATAGGCCATGTGCATTCTCTCAACACTATTCCCATGTCAGTCATCACTAATCAATCACAGAAGCTTTTCACTGAGCCTAGACAGAGTTTTTTAAATCTTCATCTGGCAGATTTTCACATGGGGTAAAGGACATTTTTTTTTATAAAGTTAATAAGTAAACTTTTTAAGGAAATGAATCTGGGGGAATGTATCTAATCTTAGGAAATCAATAACGACTAAAATTTACCACTGCTTTACAGAGTATTCTAGGGAATGTGACCTTGCATTTAGCTGCTTTTTTTTTATGCCAATAGACACCCCAATGAGCCAGAGTTTGTAAACAATACTGGCCCCTCACCTGGAAAGGCGTTATTAATCCATAGCAGCATACTTGCTCACCGAACACAGCTCTTGGAGCATCTCAAGATCACAAAATAACAATCAAGTGAAGTTGTCACATGAAAGAAAGCTGATTTACCACCTTATTAATCACATCATAAAACAAGCACAGTACAAATTCTCAGCAATTACTTGAAGACTTGATGTCATGATGAATTAAGTAACAAGTTGCTAAATGGAAGGTAAAATAAATTCCTTTTACCATTTTAGGCAAACTTCCCCTATGGTTTTCTTCCCTCTTCCTGTCAGGATGGCCTCCATTTTTACTTTGTAATCCACTGAGTGAATGCCTGTGCATACCTGGGCTAGCTCGTCAGGGGAATTCTGGATTCCTTCTATGCAGCTCTCCCTACGGAGGAGCTCTGTGGTTCTGGGGCATTTCATGCTTTGTCCTGTGGCTGCTCCTGTGTTGCACCCGCCTTTTCCAGTTGTCTGTTGCAGGTTTCCTAGAAAATGTGAATGAATGTGTATGTCCGTGCAGGGATCTGGCACTGTGGTCACAGTGAATTGCTCAAACTGTCAGAGAGGAAATGGTCCATTTTCTGATATTGATGAGAAGAATTAACTCAGCCTTGCTACATTAAAAAAAAAAACATAGCCCTTGAAAAAAATCCAGTCACCCAGAAAATTCTGGTCACTGGACACTGGCTCCTCTTGCCCTGGACTTCATGAAATTTCAGTGACCACACTGTAGCCACACTCCAGAGAACACATCCCTCTGCCTGATACTGTAGTTAGGAGCAAGCTGGTTGCCAGGAAACAAAGGGCAGCATCCAACAGAAAAAGAAGTTGCTAAAGGTAGCATATGGTCGATGGAATGTGATGTGGGCCAGGCTTGCTCACAGTGGGGGATTTTGTGGTCTCCTGATACACATGGAAACCTTAACACCATCAGCACCAGCCGGGTGAAGAGCTTCCCTGTCTTCCATCATTCAGCCATGTCCCCCGAGGCTTAGCATCAGCACCAGTTAGGAGATGGCTGCCCTGTCGCCTCAATCTCATCATCGTGGATACACACATACAGCTACTGAGGGTTTTTCTAGACTCCTGATACTTTTCTGGACAGTTCTGGAAATGACACAAAATTCAGGCTCAGTCAGTGCATCCAGACATGCAGCACTCTCTGCTGCCAAGCTGAGAGTCTGAAGAAAACCCAGGCCATGGAACCTGATAAGACTTTTAAAGAAAAGCCTGGTCGATTTCTATTCTACATTCCCCATCTCCCTCAGCCCTGGGAGACCAAGTCCTGGGTTCACAGTGTTTCTGTGTATTGATATCTTGAATCCTCAGAAGCAGCAGCTGGTCCTGCAGCAGGTGGACACACTTGTGGAGAGTCTTACAGACAGCAGTATGAAACTATTACTTCCCCCGCCCCCATTTTTCTGACTTGCAAGGTAAGCTTCCTGGAGGCCAAGGTTGGATTTGTCAAGGTTAAGGCTTCTCTGGCCTGTTTCCAAGACGAACCTGAAGAAGAGGCACAAGCTAGTGGCCCGTAGTGTGCCAGGACTCACAGGGATTGGAATTCCAAGACTTTCCTTAAAACTTGGAAGGGAGAGCAGAACAGGCCCAGGTGTCTTCGGGGTAGCAATCTGTTGAAGGCAGCCTACACTCCAATTTTCTAGTCTCTGTGCTGCCTGCTTCATTAGTGATTATCTGCCCAGCTCCTTCGAGCATTTGCTACCTCTGATCAGAGCAAGAATCGGAAGAACGGGACATCATAGCGGGAGTGGAAAGCTTCCCCTGTTACACCAGATGTCCTGAAACTTCTGTAGGCACCAGGCTGAAGGCTGTGTGTGCAGAAGGCAGAACTCATGGACACACCTACATCTCTGAGGCAGTGAAGCGCCCTGCTGGCAGGGCACCTTCAGTTCCACACTCCATCTTGTTTTGGCTTTGATGCTTTCTCTGCCATTTCCCCCTTCCAGGATCCCTTCTTAGATTTTTTTAATGCTGACTGAAAGCATTTGGAGAAGGTGAAACAAAGGTCAGCAAATTCCTGCTACCAACAAGTTCCCTAAGGATTGGTTTGGGGGAGAATTAAAGCGAGAACAGAAGTCCCTACTCTGTGGCTTTCATTCCCTTCCGTGGTTAAAATTCCCATTCTGCTTCCTTCTAGATATAATCTCCAGCCACCCTCCCTACTGTTAGGTGGACTCCTGCCATCTGAAGCAGCAGATACCGCACTTAACCCTACACAATGGATTACTGGAGAAGATGCAGTCAGATATGCAGAAGGCACTAATTAGCACCTTTGTTGGCTTAGAACGCATTTTTTATTTTGGTTTTCCTAAGCATTTCTGACTGATTCATAGAAGACATTTGGTTCTTTGGAATATCGTCCAATAGACTAATCAAATTACTGTTTTTGCAGTTCTCTAAAATAATAGCATTCTGCAGCTTTCTGCAAATTTAACTCCTGCTTGACCAGAGCACTTTGTAGAGGTAATCCACAGTATGTTTGTCTGGTTTGGTAAATTATTAATCCATATTCTTACCCCAAAGAGACTCTTATATATTGTCTCATACATTAAAAGTTGTAAAGCTAACTGGAACCATTTTCTCTCTCCCTCATCCTATGTCCTGCTTATTTTCTGAGTGGCATGCTCTCTTCTTCCTTGTTCCAGAGTTGACACTGGTACAAAACCTTGCCATCTTAAGCCTGAATCAGTAATAAGTTAGGCTCCGGATGTAGCAGGATGTAGCAGCCTCTCCCACAGCCAAGAGAGCATCAGAACCTCACGTCTGTTTCCTCCTTGTAGTAAGGTCATAAGCCACACCAATAGAGATGCTCATCAAAAATTGTTCATCACTCTCTTCTAAGCAAAATCATGACATTAGAATCTGACTGATCCCAGACCTCAGTTACAACTACCCATGCATTTGAAACCAGGTCTTAGATGACACTCCTCTGCTGTCCCCATCCTGAGACTGTATGTGATTCCTCCTTTTTGGACTTTCAGAAATTTATCATCTGAGTACATTTTATTTAAACAAAAATAACTGCCTCCCTCACTGCACAAGCCACTTCTTCAGACTGATTGCTTTCCATATGCTTTCCTGCATACATTTAGTTTTCTTCCATTTCTTTGTCTTTATTCAAACTCTTATTACTTCCATCATATTAAGTGTTCTTGGTTGCCTCATTGTTTTCTTGATTTTTCATTGACTAGGTCTAATCTTCTGAGAAAGACTTCTAACCTGATAACATCATATTTGTGTTTTATTCAGATCCTTTTTTGATTAGTTTTGGGGCCACTGAGTTTAAAGATGATCCATACCCTCGTTAGGATTTCCATTTCGCCAGGGAGGAAGATCAGGTCTCTAATAATCTGAGCTAGTATAAGCCAATGGGTCTAACTGTTGTTCACGAGACAAAGTGCATCTCCATGTAGAATCCAGAAGGCTCTCAAAGAATACAGGGCTTGGGAGGCCTCAGAGAATTGCAAGAGGCCATCTGAACAAGACTTCAACCTAGGAGACATTAGATGAAGAAAGATTAAGAAGCAGGAGGAGTTAAGACTATAGGGTCTCATTGTGAGGCTAGTCTAGATTATATTCAAATTGCCATGATGGAGAAAGAGTAAGATTGTTGAGAGCAAGAGTCGTCACATATCTGAGCCTCCCCAGAGCAGGGTGTCTTCAGCTTCCACTCAAACCCCTCTGGCCTGGTGTGGTGGTTTGAATAAGAAAGAATCCCCCACACAGGGTAATATATTTGAATGTTTAGTCATCAGGGAGTGGCACTATTCAAAAAGATTAGAAGGATAAAGAGGCCTGGCCTTGTTTGAGGAAGTGTGTCACTGGGGATGGGCTTTGAGGTTTCAAAAGCCCATGCCAACCCCAGTCTTTCTCTCTCTCTCTGCCTACTGATCAGTATGTAGAACTCTCAGCTACTTCTCCAGCATGATGCTTGCCTGCCTGGCACCATGTTCACCACCATGATGATAATGGGTTAACCTCTGAAACTCTATGCAAGCCTCCAATTAAACTCTCTCTTTTGTAAGAGTTGCCTTGGTCATGGAATCTCTCACAGTAATAAAACAATGATTAAGATACCTGGGTATATAAAATAAGTACACAACCAAACATTTATCCATAATAAGTTATAAAGAAGTTTATTTTAAGCTGGGTGGTGGTGGTACACACCTTTAATCCCAGCACTGGGGAGGCAGAGCCAGGCAGATCTCTCTGAGTTCAAGGCCAGTCTGGTCTACAGAGTGAGATCCAGGAGGCACCAAAACTATACAGAGAAACCCTGTCTTGAAAAACCAAAAAAAAAAAAGTTTATTTTAAAATAATTCTTTCCTATACATAATATAATTTTATCATTTTAAAATAAAATACAAATTTTACACTAATGAGATTGATGTGTTCTATTAATACTATGCATAGAACTAAACTTTTTCTGAAATATTTGCCACAGAGTGGAATTACAGAGCATTCGGTGTTTGGGGGAGCTGAATGATATTCTGATTTAATAATTAGCCATGATGAGAACATTTGTTGCATAAATACACAGTACAAAATGGCAGAAGTATTTTAGAGCCATTTCAGGTATTGTGGGAGATTCTGTCCTATTTTCAAGGCCATGTTCATTGAATGATTTTTTTTTAAATAAAACTCAAGTCAGCAAGTCAAACATTAGTTTTTAAGATCAAATGTTCTAACAAAACATATCCAAAGATAAACTATCTGATTCTTACACACAGAGGAATGATTGTAGGAAAATGTCAAAAGTTTTACATCCCATAATTAAATTGTTATGCTCCTATAACAGTAATTCACTCTACTTCATGACACACAATGGTCCCACTGCATTCCAGGGTGGTCTATGAAACATTTGTTGGCATTGCATCATGAGCCTGATGCGTGGTGAGAACCAAGGTGAAGTCACGTGACACAAATCTGGTTGTGTGCTGCCATTTGGGTTCCATTACATATTTGATTTGGAATGAAGTTTTTGCTGTGGGATGTCTTTCTCATTATATATTCAGAAACCTTTTACTGCTGCCAGGTTTTTGGTGACTCCCACAGCTGTGTGACCCCATGTAGAGTCACAGCCACTGTTTAAGAAGCAGGGAACAACAGTCTTCACTCTACATACTTTCCCTTCACGGGCTTTAACGGGCTTCAGCTGGGTTTACTTTGATCCTTTCTTGTGATGCAGAGCACCAAGCTTGTAATTGCTTTTCTAAATTTTATGATTTAACATATCCCTTCAGGAAATAAACACATTTACTCCTCTGGGGACCTGTCTAAGGACTGGCACATACCTGAAAGCCTAGAGTTCTGGAGGGAGAGGAATAAAGTTCAAGGCCAGCTTGAGCTATGCAACAAGTTAATGTCTTAAAAGAACATGGTCTAGGGTCTGTAGAGATGGCTCACCAGTTAAGAGCACTGGCTGCTCTTCCAGAGGACCCAGGTTCAATTCCCAGGACCCACAACACAGCTCACAACTGTCTCTAACTCCAGTTCTAGAGGATCTGATACCTTCACACCAATGCACATAAAATAAAGAAATTATTTTTTAAAAAAGAACATGGCCTAGCATAGAACCCAGTTTTATGCTGCTTGCTTAGCACACACAAGACCTTGTGTTCAGTTTCTAGTACTAGAAAAGCAGAAAAATCAGAATATTGAAGAAGATGAATGAATTAACTGTCCACCAAGTAGTAACTGTCACGACATCTGTTCCAGAAACTGCTTTTCTGACACGGGAAATGGCTCTGGCCTTTTCACTGGCGACGATGGGTGGGTGTGTCGTCAACCATGTCAATTGTGTTACTTTACATGTTGAAGCGTTGGTTAATCCTGACTGTCTCATCTTTACACTGTAATAAGTGCACACTTTCACAGTCAGGTGGAAGTGACAATCAGCCTGTTCCCGGGTGGTGGCAATGAACTTGCCACAAACTGACACTGTCTACAGTTTCAGTATGTCATGCGAGATGAAGAGTGAGTCGTCAGTCTGGGGAGATGGATCTTATGGACGTGGTCCTTGGCACTGTGTCCTTAAAGAGGCTCGGAGTGTGTGGTTATGGTGTGGGTAGATCTGTGGTACTCCACCAAGCCCACATAGTCAACGGCTGTGCAGTTAGAAACCAATAAGGAGAGGTCATCTGGACTCGGCAGTGGGTTTTTTAGAAAGGGAATAGAGAATGAAAGCGAATGCTGCCCAAGTCTTGCTTATAAGTCACCACCTGCTAGTTAGAAGACAGCACTCTGGGGAGACGTAAAGGAGGCCACAGGGTTTTCAGCTACAGTGCCGTGACATTTGTTAGCAAATGGGGCAGACGGTAAGAGAGCATCATTCATGAAGTCTGCGTTAGTTGGGACATAAGTGGGAAGGGCAGCTGCCCAGCCTTCTGCAATTATTAAAATTAATATGGAAAGAAGGGACAAGGGAGCGTATCCATTCTAGTTAGAGGGAGACCTTTCTGTGTTAAGCCACTGTCTCTGTGGGAAGGAGGAAGATAATGTGACATCACCTTCTATCCCACCAGGGTTTTCTGAGTTTTATCCTCATCATTTTTTAGCAGCAACTGCTTTTCTTCCTTCCCTGAAATTTATTTTTCTTCCCCCACACTTTGCAGTGTGGCTCTGGACTCCCCTAAGCTCTGTGCATCTTTATGTACATAAGGACTCATGGAAAGCTGCAAGTCCATCTTCATGCCTGTGACCAAAACTCACCTTCTGTGACCAAAACTCGTGCCATTTGACACTGAGACTCTTGTAGCACAAGAATGAGACCAGCTCTGTCCCCACATGGGTGAATCAGTTCACGATGTGATCAGTGAGAAAGGCCTTGGACAGCAACAACTCAGTTCGCTTGTAGAAGCCCTTCTATTGTTAAAGGCCTTGCTGAAGATGAAGGAACTGCCAGATAGAAGCTGTGCCCTTCTGATCTCAGAACCACACAGAGACCCTGCTTCCCTCCTGCCTGTGCCTTCGGAGTTCACCAGCTTGGCTCTGATGAGGCCAGACCAGGAGCTGTATTTTCCAGGAAGTGAAGTTTTTAATACAGTATAACCAAAGGCCTCTCCCCATCACATGAGCAAGAGTCAAAGACAGATCTACACTGAGAAATGTACCTACGCTTTTGTCTCTTCCTTGAGTCTGAATTAATATGAATAGAGAGATTGTCATATTCAATTGATTGGAAACAAATGTTCAGAAATTTTGACATCACAGAAGCTTCATGGTAAATATAAACCATTTTTAAATGAAATGTGGTCAAATTGCCTTCTATAAACAAACTCCCATGTTTCTATCCATAGATTAGTGTTTTCCTTATTCGTCATCAGAGAAGTGTTTTGTTACAGCCTACAGCAGTAAATGCAGAAACACATAACTAGTCAGTGTGGAGAGTAAAGGACATCGGAATGGGTCACCCACAATGCTCTTTCTGGGGCTAAAGGTCTATGTAGGAGGAAGGATGGACAGAATGGAGGGGACAGAGTATGGTCAGGTGTGTTGTAAAAAGACTTCTCTTAGAAGGATATAGCCTTCGTTCAGTGAACCCACTTCAGGTCTAGAGACCCACACAAGAGTGGGCCTGTCAATATTTTATCATGGAAGAGGAAAGGGCTCATGAGGCCTAACTCTCCCTGAGGCACTCTTGGCACTTAATGGTTCTTAGGGAAGAACATCGCTTTCGTCAGTCACGTAGCCACTGATTGGTTGGATGTGATCCAGTAAACAACTTTTCACCCATGCTTATGTGAGCAACCCTAATCAAACGCAGTAGAACACACACATGCCGTGAAAATAGGAGGGAACTTTCTGGGAAGAGAAGGAGACGACAAGAGAAGAAACTGGGGATAACAGGAGGCAATAGGAGATGATGACTAAATTCATTATGTATGATGACACTGTCAAAGAATAAAAAATAAATATAAATAAATATAAACTATAAAGCACCCAGTGAAGGAGAAAATTTCAAATACAGATTGTTTAAACTTTTAAAGTATAATGTCCCAATTTAAATTGCTTGGCAAGTAGTAGTCAATCTTACTTGATGATGGCGATGTGAAATAATTAAGAGCAGCAAGGTGAGTTACTGTAAGACTAACAGACTTCCCTCTAATCATTATATTCCTAGTTTATGTCATATTTGAACACATTCTTTAGGCATTTGCTCAATTCTAGTATGTTATTTATTTTAACACCTATGATCAAGGCTTGGAGTGAATGCTGATTTTCATTTTCAGTCACAAGATTTCATCTGATCCATCCAGTGGTATTTATAAAATAAGCTCGTTTTATAATGGAGGGATCTTAGATCCCATGAAGTCAGGTATTTTCATTTAATGAAGATGGAATCCGTGAGACCTGTACTCATTATTTTAATAATGTTATTTATCAAATCCTAGGAAGACAGTATGATACATTTCCTGTCTCAGAAATATTTGTGCTGTTTGGTTTAGGATTTAGTCATTTGTTCAGCTCTAGGATAAATATATCATTATAGAAGAGATAGAAATAGAATTTTGATACCAAAATACCAGAGAGAAAGCAGGTTTAGAAATAAAACTATAGTATATTATGAATAATTAAGCTATTTTGTTTTCATAAGGACACAAATGTCTGCATAGACCCTGAGAGTTTCCTGCTGCAGTCTGAGTGTTTGATGGTAGCAAGGACCCTGGTTTCAGCCCATAACCTCCTGCTGGGGGCGTGGCCGCACTTTCTGAGTCCTAGTCTTATAAAATCAAATGAGAAGATCAACTTGCTTCTGAAAGCCCCTTCTATGTCTCCCTTGAGGAAGATCTATTAACATGAGTGTTTTCCACACATACATCTACTCAGCTCTACAAAGCACAGATGCTCTGGGTTTTCTTGACTTACCAGAATGGTTGATGGCTTGCTGGAAGTTTTCATTTACAGAGACACTACAAAAGAAGCAGAAGCCTTGTGAGCCCCAAACTGTGTGTAAATACATTAGTACCGAGTTGCTTTTGTAATTAAACTGAACAGAAAGTCAGACTTAGATTTCACTGAGAGGACTTTAAAAAGTGAACGCACAGTCGGCTCCAAATAGGATTCGTCCAATTTTTGCACTTTTTAATTGACATATCGCTTTTGAAGGAACATAGTAATCCTTCAAGTACCCAGTGAGTAGGAAAATCATACCTCTCCCACTGTGGTAACCCGTAGCTGGGAGCCCATCCCACGGAGGGTTAACCCACATTATTTTCATGGAGCTTTGCAAGAGAAATGTATAAGGCGCACACACATGCTAAAATAAAATAAAGCACC